ACTGCGGCCCCAGGGCTGGCGGGAAGCTGGAGTCGAGACAGCACAGAAATGTCACTGCTCGGACACTGGACCAAATGCCCACTTCCTGCTGAGCTTCACACGCACAGTAAATAGGGGTGGGCATTGTGGCGCGGTGCGGTCTCCTGCAGCCTAGGACGCCCACAGCCCTCATTGGACTGTCTGCAACAAGTCCTAGCACTGCTTCCCGCCCTGCTCCCTGCTAACGTGCATGGAGGGCTGCAGATGGGAGCCACTCACGTGGGAGACCCGGATGGAGCTCCTGGCTCCTGGCTTTGGCCTGGCCCAGGCTGGCTGCAGCAGGCGTTTGGGGAGTGAAGCAGCAGATGGAAGATCTCCCTCTCTCCACCCTTCTCTCTTTTCCCTCTGTGTCACTCTCCCTTTCGTATAAAAAAAGGAGGATCATAAGTAGCATCATCTTCACTGAGACAAAGCACACACTCCCATCAACAACCATCTCACACAGGTGGACAACCCCGGAGCCGCTCCAGATCCCTAGAAGGAAGTCCCTGCCCCCCACCAGCCCAGCGACATTGGCTCAAGCCTGGTGAGAAGCCCCTGCAGGTGGGCTGGGCGAGGCTGGCTGAGGGGGCTCTGGCCATGGCGCGGGTGTGCTGATGGACATGACTTCCCATCCCACCCCCAGTTCTTGTCTTCCTCTGTGCACAGATTGGTCCTGAGTGTCTGTGTTACAGGCTCCGGAGAGATGGGGACCCAGTATAGGGACAGGATGGACTCAGGTCCCTGGGCCCCAGGCCTGGAGGACACAGGTGGATGGGAGGGGGCGCTTTCTCACTAACAAACAAGCAGCGTCGCCCCCTGGTGGCCACAATCAGCAGTGCATGTGTCGAGCCTTAGCAGGCGACCATTGGGCTGAGTCCTCTCCCAGGGCTGTTACACCTGTCCCAACAGTGGACACAACACTCATGTTCCTGTGCATCTGTGTGAGCCAAGATCTGGCTGGTCTTTCCTCCAGATCCTTGACAGGCACGAAGTGCTCACTCCGTGGAGCTTGGTCCGGTTGTTGGGTAGGGAAAGGGTAAATATCACCCCTTCCCAAGTATTGGAGGAACCAGGGTACCTGAGCCAGTCCAATGCAGGTGGACAGAGAAGGCATCCTAGCTCCAGGCCGAGACCTGAAGGATGAAAGAAGAGTCAGGAAAGACTGGGAAAGGAGTGGTCGTCTAGCCTAGAGGTGAGGACACCAGCTAAGTTGTCCTTGTCCAGCATCACGGGTCCAGCCCAGCCAGGATCCTGACTGCAGCTTCTTCCTAAGGTGCAGATGATGGCTCGAGGGGCTGGGTCCCTGCCACCCACACGAGAGACCTGGACAGAGGTTCCAGCTTCCAGTCCCATCTCAGCTGTTGCGGGCACCTGGGGATTGCCTCTGGGAGGCACTAGGAAGCTCTGGAAGAGTTTTGAGAACAGAAGGGGCAAGACCAGAGGGAAAGTTTAGCCAGAACACTTTGTTGTGTAGGACAGGGGCCCTTAGGGCCCAGGGTGAGCAGTGGTGTCCACCAGGGGAAGGGATCTCATTTTGTGTGCAGAGCAGGCATCAGCCCTGCCCAGGGAAAAGTGGCAGTGACCCCCACACTCACAATGTCCGCCCACGGCCCCCCAATGGGTTCCCAATGGAAAAGGAGACTACCAACCCATAAGAGAACCGAAAGAGACAATCACCTAAAAACAGGGGTCATGGATGACCACATCTTAATTCCATGAGGGCCACTGATGGCCACAGCTGCCACCTGCCCCTTCCCAAATCCCTTGCCATGGACCCAGGGGTGGGGATCTGGTGTCCTCGGGCCACCCCTGAGGCTCCCTGCCACCCACACCATCACCCAGACAATGGGCCCAAGGGGCCCCATTGCTATCACTCACCTACAGCCTCCTGCTGGTCCGCTGAGACAAGGGGGCTGTCAGCGCACGCCACAGGAGCAGCGATGGATGGCCGCTGGATTGCCTACCACTGGACAATGCTACAGCTTGGAAATGAAGAGATTAGGCCAGACTGTGGGCCAGAGCCCTCCCCCCACACCCCCAGGTCCTTGGCCATTTCCAGGAGTGACGCCTGGGCAATAGGATCTGGTGGCAGAGACAAGGAATGGGGTGGGGGCCAAGGGTGGGAGCTGTGCCAGGATGTGGTCATGTAGCTCCAGGAAAGGTGGGAGGGGACAGGAAGGGTGAGGCAAGGGGGACAGCGGGCACAGAGAGGAGATAGACAGAACTGGGGGTGACATGAGCCCCACTCCGCTCACTGAGACAGCAGACGGGGCAGCAGGGATCCCCGGGGGCCACCCCTCCTCGCCGAGTCCTGCCTCCTGTCTGGGCTCACAGTGGGCAGAGCAGGCAAGAATCCAGTCTAAGAGTAAAGGTGCCCACAACCCACACCCAGGTGCTGGGACTTAGTTCCTGATGATGACTCCAGCGACTAGGTCCCTGCTATGGGTGGGTCCCTGCGGGGGTCTCACCCTGCCCTTCTCACTGGTTCTGGAGCCTGAGACTGGCGGACACGGGCAGGTGGAGGTACGCAGATGTCTGTACCTGCCCAGGAGGCTGGGCAGTGCCCAGGCCTGCCCCTAACCATGATCTCTTCTCCTCTGATTTTCTCTTTGGCAAATTCTTAAGCCCAGGTGTAGGGTTGGCACCCCGGGCACTGGGCATATCTCCTACTGCCTGTCTTGCTTGTCCTCCAACAAGGGCTCATGTAAAGGCATAAGTCGGTGGCGCTAGCAGGTTATTTTTGAAGTGTCAATCACACCGGGCGAGAACGCTCCACATAACGTGTGTCAAACTTTGTACCCATGAGGTCAAAGGCATTGCGTGCTCACGGCAACATCAGGGGAAACTGAGACCCCCAGAAATGAAGGATGGAGCTTCAGGTCGCAGCAGAGAGTCCAACACAGCCCACCCCAGAGCCTCACCCTGGCATCACCCAGCAGGAACCCGTGATGTGGCCAGGCTAGCAAGACACAGCCCTGGTCCTTTGTTCCCCATAGGGACCTGGCCTCATCACCTCCTTCTCAGGCCCCTCAGTGGGGTGCAGTCCACAGGGGGGTCATACAGGGCACCCCCACCTCCCCTAGTGCCCTAGTCTGTGAGGGACTGTCACGCTCAGGATTCTTTCAGTCCCCCCAAGTTGCTCTGGACACCCCAGCCTCTGAAGTAAGCTGGCCCCTTCTACCCTGGGCAACTTCATCTGCTGCTTGGCAGTGCGGGTGGGACAATGTGCCCTCCCTGCCATCCCATGGAGGCTGACCTGGAGCTGGCCCAGGAGCGCTGGGGATGAGGGGCAGGGTTTCCAGGCACCGCCCCTGGCCCCGCCTGCCCCTGGATCTGGTCTGGCTACACAGTGGACAGTGCCATTGCCTCAGCCACCTCACCAGAACCAGCCCCCGGCACCAGGAGAAGCAGGTGAGTATCGGGGATGAGGGACAAGCATGCGGAGGGGATGGCCTCTTGGGATGCACGGTGGGGACCAAATGACATCCCTCTCTAGAAGGAATCACTGCACAGTTGGGCAGGTGCCAGGGGGTTTGAGGGCACAAAGGGAGCACCCTGTGAACAAGGGGTGAGGAAGTGAGCCTTTGCTGATCTCCTATTGCAAGCCCACCTGTAGGCCCACTTCAGTCCTCCACCAGACTCCCTAAGTTCTCCATCCATATTTGGTTTGAAAGTGGGGCATTTGGTTTTCCTGCTTTAACTGCAAGAAGGAAAGAAGCACAGGATCTACGTGATGGTGTCAGGCTGGCAGGAGGCTGGGAGGTGGGACTTGGAGTTTGCTGAGACCCACTGGGGTCCACCCTTCCCCCACCCCCTGGGGACTGCTGCCTTGGAAGTGAGGCGGGGTGTAGGGGGTGCAGCTTGGGGAGCGGGGAGTGTGGGGACAGATGAAGCAGGACTTTGAATGCCAAGCTGAGAACCCCAAAAGCACACAGAGACCCGGACACCCTGAGCTGTGCCTCTTCGCTGGGCTCTCTCACTGGCAGGGGACTGCGGCTGCACCCCCTCCTGTCCCAGGCACCCCCTGCAGAGGCGTTGCCCAGCTGCGGACCTAAGCGGCATCCCTTTGTGTTAGGAAAGGTCACCCCCTGTGGGTGGGCCACCCCTGCCTGGGCTCCTAGCCCACTGAGGGCTGGAACCAAACAGCGCCGTGAGCCTGTGAACAGCAAGGCAGGACACTAAGCTGATGTCATCCCCCCTTCCTCAGTCTGCAGTGACCAGGCCTGCCGGCCCTAACCTGCCCCAGCGCGTCCAGATGGCTCCCTGCTTCTGGTTCCTCCTCTACTTCCGGGTACCTCAGCTTCTGGGAGAGGTGCTGCGGGAGGAAGGAGGGGCCCCCATGACTAGGGTTCCATGCAGCTCCCTGGAGCCCACCCCCTCAGGGTGCAGCCTGTGCAAGCCTGCACCAGATGGCCTTGGTTCAGAAATGAAACATCAGGCCCCATTGGGTGCTGCACCTGTTGCACCCACAGTGCGGCTCTCCTGTTCTTCACCCTGGCCCGCCCCCCGCGTGGGGAGGGGGCACTTGTTTCAGCCTCCCACCCCACTCTCTCAACTCCCCACTTTCTCTCTCAGGTCAGAAGTCTCTCTGGGACCCCCTCCAGCTCCCCGGCTCGACCAAGGAACCCTGGAGTCACAGGTTGGTACGAATGGCCACCTCCAGGGAGAGAGGCTACCCTCTGTCCCAGCTCAGCCAGCCTGTGGTCCAGGTGGCTCCTGGACTAGACTGCTAAGCGACAGGAAGATACGCCACATCCAATTCAGGCCCCTCTCCCCATACCAGGCTCTAGGCCGCGTCCGCCCAACATTCAGCTGGGGGAAGGGCTCACCAAGCCATGGAGCATGGCCAGGGGTCCAGTGCCCCTCCAGCCTAAATGACTCCTCCCTGGGTGATCTTGGTCCTGACCACCCCTAGAGAGCTCTGATCCCACGGAACGCTCTGCCTCTGCCCTCTCCTCTCCTCTCTCTCCCCAGCCTCGATGGCCCCGGGAGAGGTGGTAGAGACGGCAAAGCACGTGTGCAGGTACCCAGGGCAGCGGCTGAGCTGGTGGCAGGCCCAGCAGGCCTGTGAACAGCGCTTCGGCCACCTGCTCCTGGGAGCCCCGGAAGGAATTCTTGCCCCGTGGCTGCGCGACCCGCTCTGGGCGGCCCAAAGACAGGCTTCTCAGCAGAGACCGCCACTGAGGCGTGAGTGTGGGGACCGGGGTGTCGTGGCCGCCCGAGGTGGGAGCCCAGACTCACACCTCACCACATTTCCAGCTGCGGCACCTGCCGTGGATGGGTGGGCAGGGCTAACTCCCTGGGGCGGCGCCATGGAGCTGGACCCCTCAGCTGCACACAAATAGAGGAAGAGGATGGAGTGGGCCGCTGAGGCCCGGCCCCGGGTCCTCCCCTTTGCCCCGCAGGCGTGCTCCTGGCTGCGGCGCTGGCCTTTCGGGAGCGCTCGGCGGAGCGCGCGGCACGGCTGAGGCTGCGGCTGCCCGCGCTGTCGGCGCTGACCGCGTGCGCGCACGTGCAGTGGGACGCGACCTCTCCGGCCGCCGCCGCGCTCTTCTCCATCGCCACGCCCGCGCTGCCCAACGCGCTGCAGGTGCGAGTCGTGGCGGAGCCCGGCGGGGCCGTCCGCGCCGCGCTGGTTGTGCGCGGCCATCACGCGCCCTTCCGCGCCATCTCCAGCGCCGACGGCCGCTGGCACCACGTGTGCGCCACGTGGGAGCAGCGCGGTGGGCGCTGGACGCTGTTCGCAGACGGGAGGCTGCGCGCCGGGGCGCGGGGGCTGGCAGCGGGCCGCCCAGTGCCGTCCGGCGGCGTCCTAGTGCTGGGCCAGGATCAGGACTCGCTGGGCGGCGGCTTCTCGGCGCAGGATGCATTCAGCGGCAACCTCACGGACTTCCACCTGTGGACCCGGGCACTGGGCCCCACACAGCTGCTCCGGGTGCGGGCCTGCGCGCTGCCACCCGGTGGCCTGCTTTTCCGCTGGGACCCTGCCGCGCTGGACGTCACACCCTCGCTGCTGCCTTTGGTGCCGGTGCACTTGCTGTGTCCCGGTACGGTCAGGCTCCCCACCCTTGGGTCCCCAACACTTTGCATCTGATGGAACCCACTAACCCCCGCAGCCTGCGCGTGTTGGGTCGGCCGGCTGCATCCGATTTGCCATCACACTGGTAATTCATGGGTCCAGGAGGGAGGCAGGGAGTGCCCCTGACACCTCCCTAACCTTGATCAGGAGCCTCAGAGGAGTGCCCCACGTGGGACCCCAAAACGCTCACCGAGCACTGGGAGCTGTGCCTACATCCGCTGCCCTTCCTCTGCTGCTATGGGGCAGGTATGCCTGGGGTTGGGCCCTTCCTGTAAGCCCGTGTGCTCTGGGCCGGGACTCAGTGGTTGACATATCTGGGAATTCCGAATATTCTCCAAGCTTCAGGATTTCCATAGATTCTGGGTCATACTGCAGTGGGACCAAGGGATGGGGGTGGGGGCAGTGCAGGAGAATCCCAGCTGTGGACCGTGGATTGCCAAGCCTCAGTTTCCCCACCTGGAACACTGATGTGGAAGGGTCATGCTCTCATGCCCTCGCACCCTTGGCTGGCACATGGTGAGTGGAGCTTGCGGGCCCCGTCGGGCCAGCTAGGTGTCCTGTCCTTTAGAGCCCCACCGGCAGCTGCAGGCCACCCGGTCGTGGCCCGGCCAGGACTTTATCAGCCGTGTCAACGTCTTGGCCAATGCCACTGTGGTAGGTCCCCCTCTCCTTCCGTCCAGCCGGGGCCCCTCGGTTCCCTCACCTGGCATGTCTGCACCTGCCCCTTGCTTTGGAGTCCTTGAGAACTGGAGCTTGTGCCTACTTTGGATGGGTGTCCCCAAGGCAGAGTCCTCATGTGGCCCCCTGAGGGAATCCCTTCGTGGCCACAGCAGTGGCAGCCCTTGGCTCCTGTGCCCACAGCTCCTCCCAGACCCCCTCTCTGGGACCCACGAGGCCCTGTCCCTGGTCGAGGTCTCCAACTTCCTGGGCATCCTGGAGGGAGTCCTGGCAGAGGAGGCAGCTCCACTGGGGCCAGCTGCGCTGCTAGCCATTGTGCAGTTCCTGAGGGCCATGGCAGCCCTTGGGGCCGGCGTGTCGGAGCCCACGCAGGAGCCCTGGGAGCAGCTGGGCCATGGCATGGTGGCTGTGGCCAGCCGAGTCCTGGAGGAGCGCCAGGCCAGTGCGTGGCTGTCCATTAGCGAGGTGAGGCTGGCTGGGCAGGCTGCGTGGGGGCCTGGGCTCTGTCTCTCCACTTCTCTGGTCTATTATTGGAGCTGCACAAGAACAGCTAATTGGTTAAGAGCCACTAACCCGGAAGGCCACCACCACCACCTCACACATTTACTCCCACTGCTTTCAGACTCTGCTCAAGTTCAGCCTCCAGCCCAGTGGAGGTGTCTGTCAGGCTGGGAGGGTCAGCCCGGAGCAGGGAGACAGGGTGGGAGCAATGGTCAGGGATATTGCTGAGTATCTCTGGGCTGAAGGGGCAGGCCTGGGAAGGCAGCTGAAGACCGGGGTGTAGAGGGCAGACAGCACAGCCCTGGAGGCTGGTCCTCTGCAGGGCGTGTCTGCACAGGTGGTGAGCTCCCCATCCTGGGAAGTATGTAAGCCCACGTGTAGCAGCCTGGGACACTCAGGGCTCTGACTCCTCAGGCTTCTTCCCTGGAGAGTGGCGACTGTCACACTAAGGCAGCGACAAGGAGCTGGGGGGGCATGGTGTCCTGTACATTCCCCCCCCCCCCACCGCCAGCCCCCAGCAGTTGAGTGCCTTCTGCAGGTCTAGCCCTGAGGCCGACTGAAGAAGCAGGTGACCTGGCCCAGTGCTCCGCAGTGGCGGTGGCTGGCACAGGAGCCAGCGGGCACAGGGTGCTGGAAGCCTGTGGCTTCTTGATGGGGTGATGGTGCCAGCCCAGGATCCCCTGGGACTTGGGGAACAGGCAGGGCTGTCTCCTGGGTCGTGCTGGTATTGATTAGGGTGACAGCATTAGGGTGGTGAGGGAGCTAAAAGGCAGCCTCCTCCCAGGTGGTGGGCAGTCCCATGGCCCTGGTGGCAAGTGTGCAGCACATGGCGCCCCAGCTGAGCTCTTTGCTGACCCCTGAGCAGCCCTGGCTACGCATCCGGCACCGCCATGCTGGTGAGCCTGCCCCTGCCACACACCCTCCGCCCTGTCCCTGCCTTTGCCATTCTGTGCCCTCCTCCAGAGGGCCCTGGGTCCCACCATCTCCTAGCAAACTCCTACTGATCCCGCAGGACCCTACGTGAGCATCACCTCCTCCGGAAAGACCTCCCAGCTTTAACTCCCCCTCTGTCTCCCCGGGTCCTCACAGCTTCTTAAATTCTGTCTCATTCTCACTGTATTTGTAGTCATTTCATAAGGAGTGGTCTTCCACTCGATGCCCCCTGAGGACCAGGGTCCTTGGGGCCATTCTTTGCCTCTCAGAGCCCAACCCAGGGTCAGACTCAGTGGCTGCAGGCTGAGCAGACAGCAGCCACACTCGTGTCCCCTGGGTGTCCCCTGGCTTCTGGTGACCACTCCCCTTCTCAGTGACACTCTTTCCCCCCAAGCCCAGGGTGAGGGGTGGGCAGCTTGGAGAATTCAGATTGCTCAGCTTGGGCGTGTGACTGAAGCTGCCTGTGCAGGAGTGGCAGTCCTCTAGGCCTGTAGCAGGGCAGGTGGGAGCAGACCCTGTTCCCTGGACCACTGGACAGCAAGGCCTCTCTCTGGACGTACAGCCACCCATCCCTCACCTTTCATCTCAGGCCTGGAGGTACGGCACCTGCAGCTGGGGGCGGCCAGTGCCAGGGACTACATCTTCACGGTGCCCAGGGGGCACCCCGAGGGCCCAGGACACATTTGCATCCCAGTGGGTGAAGTGAGGCAGCTCCTCGAGGAAGGTGGGTAGACTGAGGGCATGGCTGGGGGGTCTGTTGAGGTCTGGGTCTCCCCTCAGCTCTGACAATGGCCAGTGGCAGACCTCAGTTTCCACATTTGTAAGGTGGGCAAACTAGTGCTTGTCTTGGGGAGAGAAGCAGTGCCCACCCCTTGCCCGCCCCAGTGTTCACCAGACCCACATGTTTGTCGCTCAGAAGTCAGGGGGTGGGGGAGGCAGGCCCTGGCCTTGAATCTGAGCAACGGATTTGGGCTAGGGTCAGGAGCAGAGAAAACAGTTCCCAGGGAAGTCATTTACCCTCTAAGCTTGTTTCCCTGCCTCTGACATGGAAGAGCACAACCCCAGGAGCCTCAGGCCTCAGGTGGGGACTGGGGTCCCCCTGCCTTCCATGCAGGCCTCTCCGGGGTCACTGTGATCCACAGCTGGTTCTCCTCAAGCGTCTTCCAGCTCACCCTCAGAGAGTCTGGCCCAGAGCCCCTGGCCCCTGCCAACTCGGAGCAGGCGAACAGGGTGCAGAGGTGGGTGGACTCCTAGGGGACTGTCGGGAGCCTAGACCCCCTTCCTAGGGAAAGCCCAGAGCACCCCCTCCACTCCCAGGACTTCCATTCTGGCGGCAAACCTGTCCCTGGGCAGCCCAGCCCCTACCCCCTTCTTGGTGCCCACTCCAGGACTGGCAGACCATGGCATACCCTTGCATGGGGTCCTGGCTTCCTTGCTGAGGGAGCAGGTCTTATCCAAGCTGCCAGCAAGCCTAAAGCAAGGCTGTAACACAGCCCAAATGCCAGGACAAGGCTGTCACTGATGCCCAAATGCCAGGAGGAGGCTGTCACTGATGCCTCCCTGGGGTCAGGAACAGATGAGTCAGTCATGGAAGAACCCCGCCCCCTCCTCATGCCAACAGCTGCCCTTAAAAGCTCTGCTTTTCTCTACAGGTTCCTGAGCACCCGGGTGGGCTCTGCAGTCATTTCCTCTGAGATACGTGATGCTGCTGGGGAGGTCAGCACGGCCGTGACCTTTCACCTGCAGCACCAGGTACTTGATGCCCCTTTGGGGAAAAGTACCCTGGTACACATTTCCTGGTTTTCTTGGTTCTCCACCCTCAACGTGTTTTATCCTTGGACAACCAAGGTCTAAAAATGTTCCAAAAGAAAGTCACCAATGGTTGTCATTGTCCTCAAGGGGATATAGAGAGGGAAGTAGGGTGTTGCATGCCTGCCTGGGCCAGATGCCTTAATCAGGCAGCATCTGTATACTCCTCAGGCTGTCCCTTGTAGAGAATGGCGCAGTACTGGCATGCAGCCAACCCAACTGGGCACTCGCAGCAGCTCCCTTCTGAAATCCCTGGGTTGTGTGCACTTGGAGGCGGTCCTGGTTTCTCCCCTCCCATTCGTGACAGCTTCCCTTTTGCAGTCTCGTTGCTTTGGCTAGGATCTCCAGTGCAGCCAGGCTTCCTTGTCGCCTTTGCCATGTCAGCGAACAGCAACCAGCCAGCCGCTAGGCAGTGTGGCATCGGCCGTGGGGTTTTGTTCATGCCCTCTGTCAGACGGAGGACCCTTCTCTTCTGGGTCCCACTCTTCTGAGTGGTTATTGCCCAGTGTGTCTCACACAGCGGTATGAGCCTGTGGTTTTTCTCTTTAATCCATTGCATCGTTCGATCTGAAAGGATGAACCTGCTTTGGGCTCCTGCTCCTGAACCCTCTTGGGCTGGGTACACCATCTTTCCTGTGGGTTGCTGGATTCAATTTCAGATGTTTTTCTCTAATTTCGTGTGTATGTTCAGGAGTACTGTGAAATTTTCTCATACTGTTCCCCGCTGGGGCGTCTGCTCCCAGCACTGCTGGCTGGACCTGTGCTTTGCTTGTGGAGAGATGTGAAGTTCAAGTTCCTCGGTGTGCAGGTTTTTGTTATTTGGTTATTGCCTTTTGTAATTTGGTGGCTATTTTTCTCTTTTTTGAGCTGTTTTAATGATTTATGCCTCTTGAAGAATTTGTCCATTTCATCCAGGTTATCAAATTCCTGACTTAGAGCTATTCCCTTAAAGCTTAAGGCTTCTATTCCCTTATTCTCATGACATCTGTAGGATTTATAGTGGTTTTGTTTCACTCCTGACAAGTGCAAGTAGAAGTTTGCTGATTGTTTATATTTTTAAGGGCTAACTTTTAAAAGCAGTTATTTTTATTTGAAAGGCACATTTACAGAGAGAGGAGAGAAAGATCCTCCATCCACTGGTTCACTCCCCAAACGTCCACAGTAGCTGGAGCCTCATCTAGGTCTCTCACATGGATGCAGGGACCAAGCACTTGAGTCAGCCTCCTGCTTTCTCAGGCACATTAGCAGGGAGCTAGACAAGAAGTGGAGGAGCTGGGACTTGAACTGGCATCCGTGTGGCCTGGGAAAGCAGTCGAGGGTGGCTCAAAGCCTTGGGATCCTGTATCCACATGAGAGACCTGGAAGAGGCTTCTGGCTCCTGGCTTCAAATTGGCTTTGTTTCGACCATTGTGGCCAGTTGGGGAGTGAATCAGCAGACGGAAGATCTTTCTGTCTCTCCTCCTCTCTGTATATTTGACTTCCCAATAAAAATAAATAAATCTAAAAAAAAAAGTGCATGGCCAGAGGTGGGAGTTGGTATCCCAGTTACAATGTCCATGTATATGTGTTACATGTGTGTATACACATTACATGACCATGTATCCTGTCTGTAAATATACATACATGTATATACATACATTAGGCGTGGTATGTGTGTGCTGTGTAGTTGTGTGTTATATGTGTGCGTATCTGTGCATGTATGGCTGTGCTCTCTGTGTGTGTGTGGTACACATGCACATGTGTGTTCATTCTTGGACAACTTCTTACCCCATTGCGTAGCAGGTGGCCCAGCTCTTTCCCCAGCAGTAGGAGGGGCGGGCTGGGTGCTGAGCACCCCGAGCAGGACAGGGTCTTGGTCACCGCCCCTCCCTGAAGGGCCTGCGTGGGATCTGGGGCTTCCCCATGTCCACAGTGCTGGAGCAGCAGGCAGCTTGGCCTGTCTCCTCTGGCCTCCCCATGGCTGTTCTCTGCTGCCCCTTCTTCCAGGGCACAGGATGGGCCCGGCCCCTTGCACATGCCCTCCCTCCCTGCCCTGGGCTATTGGTCTCCCCTTGACCGTGTCCACTCCCACCTCTCCTCCTCTGGCCCGCTCACGCACCTGCCCTGTCTGCTTCCTAGACCTCCCCGCAGAGGCTGGTGGAGCCTGTGTGTGCTTTCTGGAACTTCAGCCCTGAGTGAGTTTCCCCTGCCTGGCCCTCTAGCTGGGGTGCCCCATCCACTCTTCCCCCATTTCCACCAAGGGCAAGGACACACACCCTGCGCTTTGGGCTCCTGGTGACCACTGCAGCAGTGGGGCACTCAGGGACAAGCCGCCGCAGGAGTTGACATGTGGCTCTGGAGGTGGTGTGCTATCTGTTATGACTGTCATGAAGGTGACACTCATGGTGATGTGTCAGGCCCCCAGGTGGGGCGTTTGAATGCCAGAGGAGACTTGCCATGCCATGCCAAGACTTGGGATCCACCCCGGGCCCCCTGACCTGTATGATGCCAGCCATGGCTGCTTACCTTTAAAGGTGACCACCCCACCACCACCACTGTCTGCCTGTCCTCCTGCTCTTTCAGAGAAAATTGGGCACGTTTGACAAGATAGAAAACTGAGGCCAGGAGGGACAGTAGCTGGCTAGGCTGCAGGGCTAGCTAGAGGCAGGCCAGCGACAAGCCCAGGGTCTGTAAAAGGCATTTCCTTCCCCACCACCCTCAGCAGTGACACGGGGGGCTCCTGGGCCACCACGGGCTGCTCTGTGACGGCCAAGTACCCAGCCTCCACCGCCTGCTTCTGCAACCACAGCACCAACTTCGCTGTCCTGCTGCAGGTGCGTGACCTGCAGGTAAGTGTCGGCGGAGCAGGGTGAGAGTGAAGGGAGTGGGGCGGCTGGCATCCCAGGCACGCAGCCATCAGCCCCAATGATGGGCACAAGACACAGGGGGCTGCAAGATGGTACAGGCAGGAGACAGACTTGGGCAGGACAGAGTGGTCAGGGGCTTGGTCCTGTCACCTCCCCTGCTCGCCTGCCTCCAGAGGCCTGGAGCGCTGGGTGAGGTGAGCCCGGGTTGTGTCTGGGTGCCCATCGCTGCCGCCTGGCCCCACAGAGAGACCCTGAGGAGGAATCGCTGCTGAGGACACTGTCATTCGTGGGGTGTGGTGTGTCCTTCTGTGCTCTTGCCACCACCTTCCTGCTCTTCCTGGTAGCGGGGTGAGGAGAGCCCCCCCCCTCCCCAGGGCTGCGGGGGCGCCCCTGGCAAACCTGCCTGCCTGTCACGGGGAACGCAGGCTGAACCAGCTCCTCCACGTGCCAGAGTCCCCATGTCGGAGCGGACCATGGTGCACAAGAACCTGACCTTCTCCCTGGCCTTGGCCGAGGGCTTTCTCATGGCCAGCGAGTGGGCGAGGGCCAGTAAGGTAAGCAGCTGGCAGGTGGGCTCCAGGGGCGTGTGGGCTCCAGGGGCGTGTGGGCTCCAGGGGCATGTGGGCTCCAGGGGCGTGTGAGCTCCAGGGACTTGGCATGGCAAGGCACCTGCTTCCTTTTCTGGGGTGTGGCCCCTCTCCTCTGCCTGTGACTCTGGCCCCTCCAAGAGATCCTGGATGAGGGTGCTGGGCTCAAGGGCACTGCAGAGACCTCACTCACCCTGCCTCTTGGTTGGCCAGGCATGGGCAGGGAACCCCTGGGTAAGACTATGGCTGACCTCAGGGGATCCCTTGCCCTCCCACAGGTGGCGTGTGTGGCTGTCACGGCCACCATGCACCTGCTCTTCTTGGTGGCTTTCTCTTGGATGCTGGTGGAGGGTCTGCTGCTTTGGAACAAGGTGGTGGCCGTGAGCATGCGCCCTGGCCCCAGCATGAGGTTCTGCTACGCCATGGGCTGGGGTGAGACCCTGCGCCCTGCCCCCGCATGGGCCTCACAGCCACCAGTGCCACCTTCATTCCACCTGGCTCCCAGCACCACCCACTTCCTGTCTGCCTCTGGTCCCTGCCACCACCCGGCTCTGACATGAGCTCAGTGTTCTGTTTGGTCAACCTCCAATTCTACCCAACCCCAATTCCTAGCACTCGTTTCTTCATTCATTTATTCACTCACATGACAGCGGGAGATCCTACATGCTGCTTTACTCTCCCAAACAACAGCCCTAGGCCAGGCAAAGGGACAAAACCAGGAGTTTGGAGTTTACAGTGACACGAGCTGTGCTTGCCGCCACCCAGGGTGTGCACTGGCAGGAACCCAGAGTCAGAAGCAGAGCTGGGCATTGTACTGTGATGGACAGCATGCACTTCTTAACCACTAGGAAAGGCTGGGATCAGCGTGCTTCTGTAGTTCAAGTATTCTAAAAACATATGGAGCCGACAGCATGGTGTAGCAAGCTAAGCCTCTGCCTGCATCCCATATGGGTACCAGTTCAAATCTCAGCTGTTCCACCCTACTAATGGCCTAGGAAAGCAGGACAGGATGGCCCAAGTCCTTGGGCCCCTGCACCCATGTGGGAGACTCAGAAAAACCTCCTGGCTCCTGGCTTTGGACTGTCTCAGCACCAGTTGAGTGCATTAGCTGGGAGCTGGGCTTGGGAGTGAAGATGAGACTCAAAGCTAGGCACCTGCTGACGTAGGACATGGCCGTCCTGTTAACCACCTCACCAAATACCCCATGCCCCACCCCAACTCTACTTAGGCCTGCCTCACTGTTGTCGCCACAGTGCCCCATCAGTGCCCCATCTTCATGGCTGCCCTCCATAGTCTGTGGCTAGCCAACCCCAGGCCAATGGCCCACCCTCACTCTCTGATCTCCTCACCGATGGCCCACTAACACCTGATAATGTCAGCCCCAGGTCCTCCAGGCTACAGCCCCGGGGCAGGGGTCCCCCCAAGTCATGGGAAAAAAGGTTCCAACTGGCAGTGTGGCCTGAAGCTCCTGCTTCTGCCCCCAGGTGCGCCTGTCCTCATTGTGGCTGCTACCCTAGCCACGTTGCCCCGTGACTACGTGGCCCCTGACCACTGCTGGCTCAACGTGCACACCAGAGCCATCTGGGCCTTCGTGGGGCCTGTGCTGTTCGTGCTGACCGTGAGCAGGGTGACCTGGGCACCCAGGGGTAGGGGAGGAGCACAACAGAGACAGCCCCATTTACCCACTGACCCTGGGGCTCCAGGCCAACGCTGGCATCCTGGCACGCGTGGTGGTGGTCACTGTGTCCAGCGCCCGCCGCCGTGCCCACACACTGAGCCCGCAGCCCCGCCTGCCGCGACAAATCTGGATCCAGATCTGGTAAGGTCCTCAAAGTCCCAGAACTGCCCAGGGCTCCTCGGGGAGTGCCCTTCACCCCTGCCCTGGCCTCAGCCCTCAGCTGGGTTTAAGACTCAGTGTCTCTGCCCCCTCCTTCATGTCCCCAACCCTTGGGAGTGGGCAGTGGAACCCAGTGGGTGGCCTGTGCCTGGTGACCCCCATGTTGCTTCAGCCTCCCCCTCAACCAGCCTCCCTGACACACACAGGGCCACTGTGAAGCCGGTGCTGGTGCTGCTGCCTGTCCTGGGCCTGACCTGGCTGGTGGGCATCCTGGTACACCTTAGCCCGGCCTGGGCCTATGCCGCCGTAGGCCTCAATTCCTTCCAGGTAGCTCTGGGGTTGTGGGGCTTGCCGGGATGAGGACCCTACGTGCCCTGGAATTTGGGGGAGGCAGGGAGTCTCAGGGTGTCCCCTGTGCTGGTGCCAACCCTGAAGGGCATGTGCCTGGGAGGACATGGGTACTGAATGTTGGTCATGGGCAGTATTCCTGACCTTGGGGACTTGGTCACCTCCTGCCAGGTAGGTGTAGAAATGGAGAGGAACTATAAGGGGGTCCATGTCGGGGGAGGGGGAGGGCCAACAGGGTCCTACTTTGGAGGATGGTGGGGGTTCCAAGGAGCCCACCTCGCTAAGACCCAGGTGGCATTGCACCATGTGGGACAGGGTTGGGGGCCCTGCCCTGGGTGTCTCCTGTCATCACAGTGGGTGGCAGCCACATCTTATTGCCATCACTGTAACTCCTAGCCTATTTCCCACCTCCCCACACCCTCCTGCCACCAGGGTGAGGGGTGGGCCCTTGATATTCCCCACCCACTCAGGTGGCAGGGACCTGCCAGCAGGGGCATTGCCACCCTCACCACTGTCTCTGCCTCCCTCCCCTACCCTCTTTGCCTCTGCCCCCTGAAATCCTTGTGTACCCCCCGCCTGCCCCTTCTCCCACTTGGCCCCCGGCCCTTGGGTTAGGGCAATGGAACCCAGTGGGTGGTCTGTGCCCCACCTGTGTCCCGCCTGTGCCCCGCCTGTGCGTGGCGACCCCCATGTTGCTTCAGCGATGCCTTCACTGCCTCCCCCCCACCCCCATCACTTCTCCCGGCTCGCCTGGCCCCCTTCATACCTCCCGCCCTTTCTGTTGCCCCTGTGATGTCCTCCATGTGTGGCTCCCTGGCTGTGCACAGGGCCTCTTTCTCCAGTCCTGGCTCGGACACCATGCTATGTCTACACGGAGAGGAGCAGCTTCCCACCCAATATGCAGAGTTGGATTGGGATTATGCGTAAGGGGCTTAGAGCTGGGACATGCTAGGAGCCAGACCCAGGAGCTGGTGCATGGGTCCTTCATTTGTCATCTTGGGTCCACCTTTGAGAGCTGGAGGAAGAGAAGGCACGAAGGCCAGACCAGGCCAACACCCCAGAGCTGTTGAGCAGCTCAGACTCTGTCTCAGGGTGCTTGGGAGCTGTGGAGGGTATGCAGCAGGCGCTGGCGTGGGCGGGCAGGGTTTAGACAGAAGCCTTTGTGTGGGTGATAGGGAGTGACTGAGAGGAAATGATGTGGGGAGGAGGGTAAGGGCTGCAAAGCGAGGACAGGTTGGGTGTAGGGGCTGTCTCCGTGGGCCTCAGGGCCGCCGTTGGGCTCATGGGCTCCAGCTTCCAGCCCTGGGGGGCCAGGAGGCTCCCCGCTCCCTGACTCCTTGAAGCCTCCTGTGTCATTCAGGTGGCCTCAGGGGGTCCCCATCCCACCTGCTGCACCTTCCGCAGCTTGGGCTTGTTCCTCTGCAGCCCCCAAGCCTACCCTCTCCACCAGCAAGGGTAATAAACACACAGATGCACAAACAGATGCCTCCATACAGCACGTGCATGCGTGGAGCACAGATTCAGGCACACAGGTGCACGCACACCAACATACACACACAGTTACACACATGGGCACAATCTATGCGTGTGCAAGCATACATGCACATGTAAGGGTGTACACCTGCCCCGTGGAGCTGCAGTGAGGACAGAGGCCTGCATCTAATGGCACGTGTGAGTGGCCAGACCCATGGGGTCCCCAGGTACATGGGGAGGAGGGAGGCAGTCCCTCCCTCCCCCCAGCATGAGGAGCCAGAAGCCCTGAGAGGGGAGGACTGATCAGCGGAGGCGTGGTCAGAAGGCCTGCACTTGACCTTGGGGCTTCAGGAAGGGTGCAGAGGCTGTGAGACTGGGACAGATTTCCAGGGTGCTGTTCCCACAGGGAGACCCAGTATGGCAGGGTATGCCTGCAGTCCCCACCCATCTGTAGGTGTCTCTGGCCTGCATACTTCTGGGCAAGGCAGCAGGCCAGGCCATGACAGTGGGGGACTCCCAGGTGGTGGCACCTACCCACCTGCCTGCTGTGTCCCCAGGGGCCTTACATCTTCCTGGTCTACTCCGCTTACAATGTGGAGGTGAGTGGGCACATGGGCTGCAGGGAGGGGGTAGGGGTGCATGTTGGGCTGGGGTGGCAGTTCATAGCAAGAAGCCAGTGGGAGTGGGGAGACCCCGTGCCCACGTGTCCATGCCCCCCAGGTGCGGAGTGCCCTGCAAAGAACAGTGGAGAAGGCAATGGCAGCCGAGGCGCCCCTGGTGCCACTGGGCATGGCGGGAGGCTGCAGTACCAGGGCCCATGCCCTCACCTGTCAGCCCTGCCACAGCTCACTGGGACTGGAACCCAGCCTGCAGCCTCCGGGTCCCTGGGAGGCAGCCCAGGGCAGCCCCTTGACCCCAACTGCACCTCGAAGACAAGTGGCTCTCAGAGGTATGACCTCCCGTCCCCTAGTTCTGCAGGTGGCGCAAGCAGATCCTCTTGGCCTTGGGCTGGGGGAGTGACTTAGCCATGGCCTGGACTCTCCCCTCCCCACTCTTTCTCCCCTGCAGCCATTACTAGGGGTCAGCCTGCTACCTGGGGGCATGGGTGGGTTGCACTGGTGTCTAAATGCCCAGCTTTTCCTGTGTGCTCTTGGGCAAGTTGGCCTCCCTCTCTGGACCTTGTGGGACACACCTCTGAGTGGAATCTTAGGATTTGTACCAGTTAGGGTCACAACCAGGGTGGGAGCAGAGAGGGGCCATCCCACCCAGCTCTCCCTGCTCAAAGACTCTTCTTCCCGCCAGGGACCCGCGGCCCCACAATGTCCACAGCCTTCTCCTCCATCACCGAACCCCAGAAACCGGTGAGACCATGACAGGTGTGCCCGCAGGGGCTTGGCCAAGGCCACCCCCCCCACATACACACTGACCAGACCCCTCTGTCCTCAGGCTGTGGAGCTAACGGCATTCAAGGCTTCAGGTAATGCTGGCATCTTAAGGGGTCCCCCTTTCCCACTGGACAACCCCCTCAGCCCACCCACTGTACCTGGCTCGCTGGCAGCCCTCTCTCAGGCCAAGGTTCGTCCACCCTAAACTTAAAGCAGCACTGCACAGCCTCACACCAACCAGCGAGCGGCTAGAGGCAGGTGCCCAGATCTCTGCCTGGAGCCAGGCTCTGGGCTAAGTCCCAGGCACCTGCAGATTCTGATTCAGAGGAGTCAAGCTCCCGCATCGCACAGGAAGGGCAGTTATAGCACAGCAATAGTCAGGCGGCAAAGGTGGCAAGGCACAGACAAATTTGTGCCCAGGGCTGTGCGACCCCAGGCTCCCAGCTGACCTCCAAGCCAGCTGTCCCTCAGAGCGCTGCTTTCCCTTCTACAAAACGGGCCGGGGGCGCCCTCTGCAGGCTGGTCTGGGGAGCGTATGGCCGGGCAAGGAAAAGGGGGGCGGCCTGTGCGCCCCTCCCTCCACTCGACCCCCACCCCGTCCTGCAGCGCCTGGCTGCGGTGCGCGTGCGTTGCTAGGGCCGCCCGTAGCAACTGAGCAGCTCCCCCTGCTGACCTCCCACCCCTCCATGGGGTTGGACGACCCCTGTGCACACCACCATGGGTAGCCAGGTGGCCGGACCAAGGGCACTGGCCCTGCCCTCGTGATGCCCAAGCAGTCCTTCCGGCCATGCAGGGTGGACAAACCCAGGCACAGGGAGGCCACAAAGGGGCCACGCTGGGTTTTCCATCCAGGGTCTGCCTGACCCTTCCCCAGCAGGTGAGGGCGAAGAAGGGGAGGGCCAAGCCCTTTGCAGCCCAAAAGGCGTTCTTTCCTCACAGGTTTCTAGATGGAGCCTTTAGGAACTTTGCTCCAAGCCCTCCCCCCTCAGCTGGGCCTGGCGGACCCTGGGTGTGAGAGGCGCCCCTGGCAGCCAGCCGCAAGGACACAGAGGCTGCATGCACCCCTCCTTCACCTCCACGGTCCCTGCTGCCCTCCTGGTTGGAGCTGGGGGCTGGGCTGCCACTCCCACTAACCAGCAGAGCCAGGGCTCTGTCCCCATCCACCTGCTGCCCCATCTGGCGTGTTTTCCTGGTAATAAACAGCCCTGGGAAGACTCTGTGGTCCCTGTTTGAGGGTTCTCCTGACCTGGGGGTGCTGGCCTGGCTTGGTGAGCAGGGCAAGGGGCACTCACTAGCACTTGCTGAGTGAGTGTCTGGGCGCGGGGGCTGGGAAGGCATGCTGGAGCCATGCGTCCTCACCCCACCCTGACGGGACACCCCCACCGTCAGGTACACTGCAGGCTCACACGGTGTCCTGGAACTCAGACCTGGGGTGTCCCTGACAGTGAGGCACAGGGGGCAGGGGTAGCGGTCAGTATGAACACCCAGAGAGCACCCAGGTGGACTGCTTGGAGGTGGCGCCTGGGCCCTTGCTGAGGCGGGGGGCACAGCTGCCCCCTCTCCGCCCTGGGACTGCCAGGATCTTCTCTGGGGCTCTCAGGGCCTGGCGGTCACAGGTAAATACAGTGTGGCCATCGCCAAGGCCCACCTGCTGGGGCCGGGCACTGGAGGGTCGCAGGCTGAGTGGCAACAAAGAGGGGGCAGCGTGCCAGGTGGGACACCAGTATCCTGCCCTTCAGAGGGCTCACGCATGGGTCACGATGGGCAAGCCAGAGGGAGCCTTCCCAGACTCCCCCGACTGCTTGTCTCGTATCCCCGCCCACACCCTCAGCTTCTACACACACACACACACACACACACACACGAGTATCTGTGTAACCATGTATGAAGCTTAGGACTGGAGAGCATGCTCTTGCTCATCGGCTCGCTCCCTAAGTGGAAGGTGGGAACACCATCCAGTCCCACCCTCACCCCGTCTGGGTGGCTGGAGCCCAGTGAACTGTGCCATGGCCACTCAAGCCAACTCAACAGGCAGCTGGACCACCCTCTCCCCAGCCAAAATGACACCCTCCAGTGCCCCTCCACACACTGCTCATTCCTCTGCCTGCACTGCCGGCGCCTCCAGCTCCTGTGTGGCTTGTGGGCTCCAGGGCATCCTCAAAACCCAATTTGCGGGCCCAGTGCAATAGCCTAGTGGTTAAGTCCTCACCTCACATGCGCCAGGATCCCATATAGGCGTCAGTTCTAATCCGGGTAGCCCTGCTTCCCATCCAGCTCCCTGCTTGTGGCCTGGGAAAGCAGTCGAGGACGGCCCAAAACATTGGGACCCTTCACCTGTGTGGGAGACCCAAAAGAGGCTCTGAACTCCTGGCTTCAGGTTGGCACAGCTCTGGCCGTTGCGGTCACTTGGGGAGTGAATCATCAGATGGAAGATCTTTCTCTCTGTCTCTCCTCCTCTCTGTATATCTGACTTTCCAATAAAAATACAATCCCTTCCTCATCTTTCACTAGTGTTTTTAGCATTATTATTGTGAGAAAGGCAGAGGTAGAGAGAGAGACCTTCCACCTGCTGGTTCATTCACATGGCTGCACCAGCCAGGTCCGGGCCAGGCTGAAGCCTAGAGTCTGGAGTTTCATCACGGTCTCCCACGTGGGTGACAGGGGCTTAACCACCTGGACCATCTTCCCCTGCTTTCCCAGGTGTGTTGGCAGGGAGCTGGATTGCAAGCGGAGCAGCCTAAACTAGTACCAGTGTTCATACTGGATGCTGGTGTCACAGGTGGTGGCTTAATCCACAGTGCCACAACTCCAGCCCCCTTCCTCACCCTATGCCATCCTGCATGGCTTTGCCCCACATGATGGGGCAACACTGGGGACAAGAACTGGATCTCCTGGCTGGGCTCGGCATGTGCCAAGGTAGAGAAAACCTGCCAAGCTAAGTGGCACCTTTTTCTAATCAACACAGAGGCACAGGCCGACCAGGGGTTGGCCATGAAGATGACCTCGCAGTGACAGTCCAGGCCAGTGGCTGTGCCCCTATCCTCCCTGTTCCACTGTTTTGAAGTTGTGACCTATGCAAGTGGCTTTGAGCCTGGCTGGGAGGAGTGTCCCAAGCAGCTGGCCTTGCTCACTGCTGCCACCCAGTGGGGGTGGGGATGGCAGGAATTGTTGAGGGATGTGACCCAGAAAGGTCCTGGGCTGTGCAGCCAGGCAGGGGCGGACCAGGGTCTGTGGCCTCCTACGGATAACTGCCCCCCACCCATGCACAGGGGACACACAGAGACGGTGAGACACACAGTAGGTGCCCGCAAATGACCACACCCTTCTGTCCAAGATGGGAGCTGAGACCGGAAAGCCACAGCCACTCCCAGGCCTCCAGGATGAGGGACAATGTCACCTGGTGTCCCCTTCCGCACTCCCCACCCAGCTCTGCTCCAACCTCAGCCCACTCCTCCTCTATCCTGCATGACACCAGGAAGTCACCTGCCTGCTGCTCCCTCCCTCCACCCCCCAACTCCTTCATAGGCAAAAGCAGCTGGAAACTACTTGAAAATTTATTCCGGGGCTGCAGGGCTGGGGAGAACTTGTAAGGGCACTTGTTTTGGGGCGGTGGGTCTCTGGCCTTGGCAGGGGCACACAATTCAAGGGGCAGAGGTGGAAACTGAGACAGAGCGCTGAGAGGCAAGCGGGCAGCAGTGCCCAGCTCATGTGGCTGGGCAGGCTTGGCGCAAGCTGCAGCGGCTGTGTGAAAGCAGGCAGACATTGGGCTGCTCAGGCACAGTGGACGCCTGGGGCCTCGAGGCCTGAGAGCTGGGCTCAGCCTCCAGGGTTTGTTGCAAGGGACCCGATGCAACAGGGCCACGCAGGAGGGGCTCACTAGGACTCTTCATGATCCAGAGACCCACCCGGGGCCCTGCAAACCTCCCTCACACTCCCAAGCCCCCAGCCTTGGCAACCAGCACTTCTCTGGTTTGCTGTTGGGGCTGGGAAACAACAACTGCTAGCCCCCTGGGGATCCTCACTGGGAAAAAGAGGTGCCTACTCCCTGCCCAGATCAGAGCCTCAGAGCTCACACCTGCCATCGCACACCATTTTCCAGGGATACTTGGAGCTGAAAACAGGAACCCAAAGGGAGCAAGGAACACACAGGCACCTGCTGACTGCATCCTTGCAGATAAATACCAGCCCAAGGCCGGCCCGCTGTGGGTGGAGCTAGAAGTCCGGTGCTCTGGTGGGGGAGGGAACAGGAATCCGGGTCAGATCCCGCGCCTAGGCTCGCTTCTGCAAGAAGACTGACCTGGCAGGAGGACCAGGGAACAAATTCCAGCCTCCCTCTCTCGCCCTGTCCCCTGCCCCATGGCGGGATGGGGGTGAGGGATGCTCAACTTCTCCCTGTCTGTTTCCAGGTGAGGGGGAAGGGACGACCTCTGATCCGCGGAGACACAGAGGTCCACCAAGGGAATTCCCAACCCTCTCCCCTAGGCTGGACTCCAGGGCAGACACGGCCTGGAGCAGGGGAGGGAAGGGCTGGCGGTGCACCTCCACCTTCCTAAATAAGCGGCCTCCAGAGCTGGGGGCGGGGCCGAGGCGGGTGGGGCTCCTGGGCTGGCGTAGTAAAATAAACCATCTGGAGGGCGGGCCGGCCGCGGGCGCGGGCTCAGGTCTGCTTGGCCTGCAGCATCTCGATGAGCAGGTTGTTGCGTGGCATCTCGTTGCCCAGGTGCTTGTGGTACAGGTACTCCTTGGCCTGCATGCTTAGCGCCCGCACCTCCACCAAGCACAGCAGCAGCTGCTGGAACTTGTCCCCGCAGTGCGGGTAGTGGCACAGGGTGTAGTCGAGTAGCGCCGCGTTGGCCTTTTCCTGCGCGTCCTTCACCAGGCCGTGGTTGTTTAGGAGCTTGACGTCTGCGGAAGGAGGAGCGCCGGTCACTGCTGGCCAGAGACCCTTCCGCACGTCCAGCGCCCTTGGGGTGGTGGCCTCCAGCCGCCAAACCACCGCCAAACCACAGCCATCCTCACCACAGCTGACCCTCACCATCCTCAACAACCACCTGTCTCTACGGTGACGCCCACTGTCCTCGCTGTCACAGTGGTCATGAACAGCCTCACCAGGTGCACCCGCAGCACGCCGTGACTCTCTGACTGCTCCCCCCAGGAAAGGAGGGAGAGGAGAGACTCATGTGGCAGGGTGGCTAGGAGAATCCCGGCTGTCAGCAGGTGGATGAGAAGAGGGGGCATCCAGTACCAAGCTGGCCCTGCTGTTGTCATTGCTGTCGCTCTTCCACTATGCCACTGTCAAACCATCGCTGCCATCGCCACCACTGTCCCTGGTCACCGTGGTCAGAAGCACGGGGCACCGTCCTCCCACAGCCATCGCTGTCAGTGTCATCTCTGTGCTGGTCACCACTGTCCCCAACACCCTCCTTGCCGGGATGACCCCATCCTGGAGGACACTGGACACAGTTTGCCTCCCACCCCTGCCCAGTCCCTGGACCCCTGGAGAGGCGCTGTCCCAGGGCCTTCGGGGCACACATGGGTGTGCGTGTGGTGGCAATGAGGCAGCCGTGGGGGGCCGCTCCAGGGGAGCTGTGGGCAGCAAACAGAGCATACCAGTGGGTCTTTGCAGGCGTGGGCTGCGTGGAAAACACACAACCTCTAAGAGGAGGTCTTCAGGGCAGGGCCAATGGCATCCACTAAAGATGCCCAGAAGGCAGAGGAGGGAGCCAGGCCCTGCCAGGACCAGCAAGGGGGCTGGCATCAAGCCCACCCTGGGCTTGACCCTGCTGAGCCCCACCCCACCCCCAGCCCTACCCTGCCTGAGCCAGGGTGGCCAGGGACCCTTTCACCTTTCCCGTGGTCCCCAGCTTGCCCAACCCTGCTGCTGCGGGGGAGTCGGCCCTGTGCAGCCGGGTGCTAGCTAATCCCTGCTTAACGCCCACTGCGCCAGGGCAGCTCTTGCTCCAGGCAACCCTGATCCCCAGCCGCCCCTAGCACACCCCACCTAGGCTAGTGTTGTCCCAAGTCGGATTTAAGGAAACCCGAGCTGGGCCCTGGACGTCTGGCAGGGTCTGGCCTCCACACCTGCCCCCACCCCACCTCTCTGCCTCCTCCTCCCTCTCAGGGTCACTTTTATCATTACCTCCTGAGGCTCATCCTTTGTGACAGTTAGAGAAAGGGTCCCTGGTCCACAGGTTTCAGTGCCAGCTGCTCCCGCCCCAGGTGCTCTTGCACAGTGAACAACCTAGCCAACTGTACGTGGCATCTCCATTCTCTAGCCTGGCTGCCCCCAACTTGACCTCCTGAAAGCAAGAGGTGCAGACTGCCCCCCATCTCAATCCTGTTGCATCTATCTGCCCACTCCCTGGTCCCTAGGGTTGGGCAAGTCCCTGCTAGGGAGTGGGTGGGATGATCTGCCAGAAGATCAAGACCAGCTCAAAGCTGGAAAGGGGCTGGAAGGAAACAGCTGGGCAGTGGGGGTGGTGGGGGCGGAGGACAGGCCCGGACACTGTGGTGCAGGCCCTGGGTGGGAGGGTGGGGAGCATCAGGCCTGGCTTTACCAGGATTTACTGTTCTCCACTGCACCCAGCCAGGGACAGTGGGGTGAGGTGCAGCGGGGCAGGTCCTACCCCCAGCACTTCGCTGGCCTCCCAGTGGGCTGTGAGCCCCCTCTCTGTGCCATGCAGCCCAGCAACTGAGACCTACAGTGCCAGCGTGTGGCCCTGCCAGGCACTGTGCACCAAGCTCAGCTCATCCCCACAGACACCCGGACAGGCAAGGCAGGACACCTCGAGGCTCAGTCCACGCATGCCTGGAACCCAGGGGAGAGGGCAGAACCTGGGTGAAAAGCCAGGCCTGTGTGGGTCCAAATTGCAGTCTTCCCACCGCGGGCCAGAAGAGCGGGGAGGCAGCGCCACAGTCAGACACAGGCCCCACACCACTCTAAACTGCACCCTGTCCAGCCAGCTGTGTGTCCAAGGGCCCCGGGACCCTCCAGAGAGGCTGCAGACCCCTCCTTACCTGGCCACTCTGATGAGGCACTCTCCCTTCTCCAGAGAAACTACTAAAGGTTCAGGATCCCATGCGACAGATGGCTTAGGGTCCCACGGGCACCTGCTCACTTCCCACAGATGCTAGGACAGGCCTGGAGAGGCCCGCTGAACATGGCAGGTCCCAGCTCTACAGCCCGCTGGGTGTTCCTGGCCCAGTCACTTCCCTGCTGTGGATCTCGGCCTCCTGTCACTCACAGGGCGACCTGATTTGGACAGTCCCAGAGGTGGCCACGGGGAACTGGGCCAGTTCCCCCAAGCCTGCTCAGCTCCATGCAGTCCCAGAGGTGGGAGGGGGCTGTGTGATGGCACCCCCACCTCGGGGAGCAGCCCCTGCGAGCTCTGCGGAGCTGGGGGCCCCTGGGATCTCAGAAAAGCCCCCTTTTCACGGTTTAATTGAATATTTGAATAATCCTTTCATTCCAGCGAGGCATAAAGAATGTTGTCCCAATAGCGGTGACTCAGGCAGGCGCCCCCGCGCACAATGGCCCCTGGAGTGGGCTGCTATTCAGGCTGCCTTTTGTTGGCGCGGAGCAGTGGGTAAATTGCAAACGCTTAAGGGAATGCTGCCGCCGCTGCCTCAATGGGAATCAGGAAATCGAATGTTAGGTCAATCCATTAAGCTTCGATTAAGTCCTCCGCGGAACAATGCCAGCCGGGCCCATCTTCATAAACACCGTGATTGCCAGGAGAGAGGCACTAATTTTAATTAAACCTCCTTACCTGCCTCTGCGCCGCCTGCCCGAGACGGCTATTTAGTCGCCAAATGGCACCCTTCTGCAGAAGCAAGGCGAGGTGGGAAGCGCTGAGTGCGCTGGGGAGGGGCGGGGGATGCTGTCCAACCCAGAAGGCGCCACTCACCCGAGGGTGGCACCCGCCGTGCCAGCTGCAAGTCACAGGCAAGTTGCAGTCTCCCCCTGCCAGGTCCCAGCTTCCCTTCCAGCTCTGGGGGTCTGGGTGGGCTCATGGGAGGAGCCCAGGTAGGGCTGGCTGTCCCCTGCCCAGCCTTTTTTCATGCTGCAGGGCCGGGATCAAACGCAATGTGATGGTGTCACTTCCTGCTTACAAGGGACAGTTCAAGACTCTCAAGGCGTTCAAGGCCTTGCACGGTCCAGTCTCGGGCTACCGCTCCAGCTTCCCGGACACCCCCTTTTCGACCCCATGCAGCCATGCTGAAGTTTCCCCGATTCTCACCTGGGAATGACTCCAGGGCTGCTGGCTTTGTTTCCGCTTTCTGCAGCAGCCAGAAAGAAGGCCCCTCCTCCAGGAAGGCTTCCTTGCCCTTCTCTGGAACTGCCTTCTGCTTTCTGATCTTGCCTGACCACATAGTGGACTCCTTGGGCTCCCCGCCTGCCCTAGAGCCGGCCTGGGGCATGAACAGGTCTGCCTCCTTCTCCCGCTCCTCCTCCTGCTCTTCTTCCGGCCCGATTGTTCCAGCCTCACCAGACCCCTAGCTCCTCCAGCCACCCCGGCCAGACCCTGTGCCCAAGTCAAGCAGAGGCCCAGCAGGCGTGGCAGAGCCTGTGCAGACCCGCCTTCTTGCTCACAGTGCTGATGAGGCTAACAGTACAGAGGTGTGTGTGGCTGTGGGGCGTTCCCTCGCCACGCCCTCTGGCAAGGTCAGGGTTGGGATAAGCATTTGACCGCTCAGAAATAGCACAAGTCAGAGATCAAATTCAGAATCCAAGTGTCCTCCTCTAACCACCGGCAATGGGGCACACGCTCCCTGCGGCCTGCGCTGCCCAGCACAACAGTCTCTGTCCAGTGTCTCGGGCCTCAGCTGCCCATGTAGAAAATGGGACCAGGCCCCCGAGGGGCTGGGGTTCTCATGTCTGAGCATGGCCACAGTCACGCCCACCAGGAACTGGAGAAGCAGAGTGGGCCCAGCTGTGCCTGATCTCCCTCCGTGGAAAGAGGAATCCTGAATTAACCATGGGTGGCAGCCAGAGCCATGCTGGGCCCGGGAACCCCTAAGTACCTGGAGCTTTTGTGGGAGGAGGGGCTGGAAGCCAAGACCACACCCTGGTTCTTCGGGGGGGGGCACTCAAGGACAAGGGCAGCTCCCTGGGTCACCCACCCCTCCGCAGGACCCTCCATGGAGGACTGGGAATGGCACTCAGGTCAGGAACTGTTGCCCTGCTGATCACCGGACTCCCGTAAAGTTAATGCTCCAGCTCTGCCTCCCAGTGCCACCTGTGCCTCCGACCCCTTGTGCGTTCACAGCTCCCCGGCCACTTGGCCACCTGCACTCTTCACACGATGCAGCGCATGAAAAGTGAGTGGCCCACACAACTCCCGGGTCTGCATGTACACACAGGCTCAGCCACGTGCAGAGTGTGGGGTGCACACACTGCCACGGGCTTGGTGGGCGTTCCTGTTGGCTGGTGCCAACACCTGGAGTCGTGCAGGTGCTTAGCAAACATTTATGGAATAAGCAAATGGATGAGAAAATAGATCTAGCCCTCCAAGAGCTCAGAGTGAGAACTTGGGCCCCCACTAAGTCTGGCAATTCAGGAAAACAGGGCACCCAGGGCGGGAGCCAGCAACAGAAAGCCCGAACCCTGAAGCTTTCCTGCCGGGCCGAGCTCCTCTGGGGTAAGCTGCCAGCGACCTCCAAGGTCCTCAGACAGGGGTCCTTAGTCTATGGTGGAGGGGGGGCGGCGTCTATGGCATTACTCTGGCCCCATTTACACCCCCTCAGAGAAACCCAGTACCCAAGGGGAAGCAGCCCCCATTCCCAGACCCAGGCACCTGCACACCCTCACAAGGGAGGGGTCCTTTTCCCCTGCCCTAGCCCATCGTGGTCACTGTGGCTGGACAGAGCGCCTCTCAGGGCCCTGCCCATAGCCCTGCACCATCCTCCTGCCGGCCCTGGGGGGCCTTCCCTGCCCCACTCACCCAGGCTGAAGAGGATGAGGAACTTGAGGCAGACGAACTCTTGGCGGTCCAGCTGCAGTGCGTGCAGCTGCAGCACCAGCTCCTGGGCCCGCAGCACCAGGTTGTGCAGCAGGGAGCCTGCCTGGGCAGCCACCGTGGTCAGCTCCACCTGGGCAAGTCAGAGGGTGTTGTCAGAGGGGTGCTCAGGCATGGGCCAGGGGGCACAGCGTGTGAGGCTCTGACCAGGGACATAGATGGGAGGCACCCATTAGTCAAGGCCAGGAGTGCCAGGCCTGGGAACCAGAGGGGTGCAGGTAGCACCTACTCGGGAGCCTGGAACCCTCCAGCACTCTTTCCTAGTTCTCTTCAACCTGCTGGGCCTAGAGCTGAGGACACCCCATTCACCTTACAGCAGCAGACGGGACCCCTGGCAGTCAGCTGGGCTGGCAGCTGAAGGTTTCACCTCACCCAGAAGGCCACGGCCTGGCCCAGGGGTGGTGCCACCAGCATCCATGTAGAGAGTGCCACCTTGGGCTGGGTGTAGGGAGCAAGGGGGCAAGGGGAGGGCAGGTCTGGGTAACCACACATGGACACATCCACACACGGACACAGTCATGGCCCTGCCCGCCAGCATGTTCACAAAGTGAAGACACCACACTCCAGGATTGCTCTGTAACAGACCCACCCACGCCTGTGTGTGTCAGTCAGATGGTGATGGACAAACATCCACACCCACGGCCATATGGACTTGGACACAGTGACACTCTTGGCCTATACTTGTTCTCTGGGGACCAACATGCCCTGTCCCTCTGCTGGCTTGAGACAACCAGGTGGGAACTCCTGCCAGGCCCCAGTATGCTGAGCGAAGTAGCTGCCCCCCTAATATCCCTCCCTGCCTCCCCACCTGCTCCCTCCAGCATCTGGCTGTGTCCCTCCTGCGGCCCCACCCCTGCTCCCAGCCCTGTCATTTCATTCCTATTTTCCTACCATCAAGGGCAAATGATTCAGTCATTCTCTCATTCTCATCTATTCATTCATTTAGGAGTTTTGCCCACTTACCCAGTCCCACCAACCCCAGCAGCCTCATCTCTAATGAGCCCCTTCCACACCCACAGCAGCTGCACTCCCTAAGCTTTCCTCTCTTCTTCCATCTCCCAAGGGTGTCCCCAGGGTCCTGCCACAGCCTCAGGGAGCCTCTCTGATCCTCCCTTCTTGTGCTGCTCCTCTCGAGGCTAGGGTTGGGCAGGTAGCAGAGTGAGGGGCCGCTGTGTCCTCAGAGCTCAGGCACAGGGCTGGCGAGGGGCTGGGGTTGGATGGCAGGGCAGTCACCTCTTGCCCGGTAACTAGTAGGATGCTGCCCTCCTTGCCGTACTGGATCTGGCGGTAGACGTGGTCAAACACCAGCAGCTCACTCCAGCAATTCTGCAGCAGTGTCATCTGGTCGGCCACCTGCAACAAAGCCACACAAGGGCTCAACCAGCCAGCTGGGGCAGAGCCGGTCTCCTCCTGCTGCTCATTGGTGCCCCCTCTGCCTGCCCATCCGCCTGGCACTGGGGGTCCCAACTCTGCCTGGGACAAGTCATGTGGCCTTACACAAGTTCCAAAAGTTTCCTGTTTCAGAAGCTTCACCTGTCAAGTGGGCACAGTACACAGATGGCCAAGCATCCATATGTGAGCACCCAACGAGTATCAGCAATTGGTGGCCAACTGGACACTCTGGGAGGGACCACTTCAACTCCAGGCAGTACTGCCTGCATCATGGGCCTGGGATCAGTCTGCTAGGCAGCCTTGGCCACTTTAAAAGCAATCAGAGGAGGACCCTGAGGGCAGCCCAGGGCCCTCTGCTCAACTCAAGCCCTCACCTTCCCCACTCCCCCAGGGAAGACAAGAGGACCCAGGGGCTGGGGCTGGCTTGGTTTCACGGCAGGCAGGACTCAACCAGGTCACATGCTCAGCCCCCAGGCCCTGGGCACAGGGCACGGATGGCCCCTTTGGATGTCTTCCAATTCTGGGGCAGGGGGAGGAGAGGGGAGACCCTGTCGCCCTCCAGTGAGAGTGACCTTCTGGACCATGGGCTGAGGAGCATGTGAAGCCAGAGTCAGGAGGCTCCAGGGCCATGCCCCCATTTTGTCTGTTTTAGGTAAAGAATTTGCCACCTAGGGCTGACATTGTGAGCAAAGCTGATTAAGCCACCTCTTGTGATGTTGGCATTCCTTATTGGAACACCAATTCCAGTCCCTGCTGCTTTACTTCCCATCCAGCTCCCTGTTAACACCCTGGGAAAAGCAATGGGGTACAGCCCCAAGTCCTTGAGCCCCCGCACCCCCGTGGGAGCTCCACAAGGCATTGCAGGCTCCGCATCCATACGTGTGGCCATACGCTGGCCATTCGGGCTTTGCTCTGTGCCAGCCCCAGCCATGGCAGCCATTTGGAGAGCGAACCAGCAGGTGGAAGAGCTGTCCCTCTGTCTCTCTCCCGCTGTTACTTTGCCTTTCAAATAAATAAATCTTAAGAAAAAAAAAAAAAAAGAAAAATGAGCAAACAGAATCCGTCACCCAGAGTTGGGTGAAGGACTTTACTGAGGTCACCCAGAGGCAGAGCCGGGCCCAAACCATGGCTGGCATTGCTGGGACAGTCTCCATGGTGATAAGCAGCCCACTGGGCACATGGTAGAGCCCCAGCCCCTCTCGGTAGCCACCACCTGCTCAGCAGGGATTCTCAGGGCAGCATTCTGAGTGGTGAACATAGACCACATCACTGTGTGCTCCAGGCCCGGGAGGATGCTACAGCTGTTACATCCGGGCACAGAGAGGCCGAATGCCCACAGCTCTGTGTGGTTACACCTGACACTCTTACCAGCCAGGGGTGGAGGAAGAGCTGCTGCCCCCACAGGTGCAGTCAGTCTCACTCAGGCTCCTGTCGCCCCCAAACCTTTCTGGGTGTCCTTCACACCCCAGGCATATGGAACACACCCCTTCTGGGAGCACCAACCCATGCCCCTGCCTTCCCTGGGACAGGTCCAGCTCCTTGCTGGCCCCCAAAGGAGGGGTCAGTGAGCAGCTGGTGCACACATTTGTGCGCCCCAAGACAGTGGTGCATGCAGAGTACAGAGAAGCTCCTGCTGAGCGGCCCCCAGGGGAGAGAAATATCTCCCTCAGCACCCCGTCTGTCCTCGGGCAGAGAAAAGGGGAAACAGGTAGAGAGACAGAGAGAGGAGCTGGACACAGACCAGGTCCTCCGTGCTCACCGACCGCCTCCTCCTCCCTTCCCCACACCAACTCAGTCCACTTGTCCCCTTCCACCTGGAGACCCAGCCCAGCCGGGACGCCCCATCAGCCCTGGATGGGAGGGGCTGGACAGATAGCCGAGCCAGCAGGGGTGGACCTAGGCAAGCGCCCCTCACACTTCTCCCCTTCCAAGGCACTACACCACAGTATCTAAGGATGGAGGCAAGCTCAGGCCATATTGCCTGTGTCCCATTGGCATTCTGCCCATATTTCAGAGAAAGCAAACTGAGGCTTGACAAAGATAACTGCAAGGGGCAAGGCTCTGCTCACTTGCCCCCTCCCCTGGCTGGAGGCCCCGGCAGGAGGGTGCCTGCTGCAAGTCACACTGTGGGCAACTCAGATGGGGCAGAGGAGGGGAGCATGGAGGCTAAGCAGGGCTGAGCTCTGCACCCCACTCAGTGTGGGCCCAGCTGAAGGCACAGGGGGTGGGGTGGAAGGCCCAAGATAAGGCGGAGGATTAGGAGATAAGGCAGCGGGCAAAGGGGTCACAGTGACCTAACCGTCCCAGCCCAGGGAACAGCGCCTGTGCCCAGAGATCCGGGAGACGGACCAGTCCTGCCCTACGAGGTGGGTGGGGCAGCAGAGCAGAGAGACACAGGCAGACATGCAAACGCTGATGCCTCATGCCCTATATTTACCTCCATACCAGGTGTGTGTGCCCCTTGGTCCCTGGTTCCTGTTCTGTGGTAGAAGGAAGGCTCACGTGCTGCCCCTCGTGGGGGGCTCTGGGATGCTGGGCCAGTAGGTTCCCACCCACACCATGGCCCAGCCAGTATGAGCATACACACACACACACACACACTCACACACACAAAAATGAGCACACATACACACATCCCTCTTCATTTAAAAGCAAGCCGGAGCTGTGGCTGGTAGTTCTGCATGAGAAAGCAGGCGCCTGGAGACCTCACTTCACCAGGACCACTGCCTTCCACTTTCTTGAGCTTCTCCCAACACAGAGGGGGAACAAGAACTTTTGCAGCCAGGGACTCTGGGGGACCCTGCTAGCTGGGCCACAAATCTTCCTGGATCCTTGACACAGTGTAGCCTGCCTGGGACACCGGGAATTTATGGCAGCTGCTTGACCTGCCTGCCCACAGGCCCCCCAGCCGGGCCTCAAGCCGAAGGTCAGCGGGCATGGTAATTCTCTGGGGACTGTTCTGCCATGGGCTAGCCACGGCGCTGTCCCGGCCGTGATTGCTGGGTCATCATTTGTCAGCCAGGACTGACAGCGAAATGCAGCTATCTATCTGGGCAATTAAGTCTGCCCCGGCGGGGGCCTTGGCGCTGGGCCGGGAATGGAGGGGCCTGACCATTAGGTCTCTGAGAGCCCCCTCTCCCTCCCTGATGGCTATGGGGCCCTCTGCCAGGTGTCTGTCACGGGAAGTGGCCAAGCTGTCGGGCTCTGGGCAGCTAGGAAAGGCCCACCTCCTCTGCCTCAGCCCTGGGCATTCACTGATTTGCTCCGGAGCTCAGCAGGAGCGTGGATACAATGCACTCTCTCCCTACTCTACCTGCCCATCTAGGCTCGGACAGCTCTGTGCACGTGGCAGAGCAGAACATGAAGCGAGGGGAGCTGACCCGTAGGTCCTGGGACCTTGGTGTGTGTGGTGGGCCCTGAGCCAAATCCATCACCTGTCCTACCTTGCCTAGCCACTGCACGGGAAGTGGGTGTTACTTAAACTCCGCCCATTTTGTACAAGAGGAAACCAGGCACAGGTGTGCAGTCACTTGCCCGGGGTTACACAGCGTGTGAGTGGTCGAGCCGGGAGCCTGATAGCAAGCCTCTGGTCTTTGGCTTCTGTGCCTCCACAGATCCAAAAGACTGTGGCTGCAAACAATAGAAATGGAAAGGCAGAGACAGCCAGCTGAGCTAGGAAAGAGGAAGTCGGGAGGGGGCGGCACTGTGGCACTGTAGGTTAAGCCGCTGCCATCCCATATGGGCAACGGTTTGAATCTGGCTGGTCCAGATTTCTGCTACTGTTTGTGGGAAAGCAGTTGGAAGATGGCTCAGGTGCTTGGGCTCCTGCAACCATGTGGGAGACCAAGAAGAAGTTCCTGGCTCCTGACTTGGAATCGATCAGCTCAACTCTGGCTGTTGTAGCCATTTGGAGATTGAGGCAGCAGACAGAAGATCTTCTCTCTCTCTTTAAAGATTTATTTATTTATTGTTGGAAAGTCAGATATACAGAGAGAAAGAGAAGCAGAGGGAAGATCTTCCATTTTCTGATTCACACCCCAAGTGACCACAATGGCCGGAGCTGAGCTGTTCCAAAACCAGGAGCTTCTTCTTCTACGTGGGTGCAGGGTCCCAAGGCTTTGGGCCGGTCTTGACTGCTTTCCCAGACCACAAGCAGGGAGCTGGATGGGAAGCAGGGATGCAGAGACATGAACCCACATGGGATCCTGGTGTGTGCAAGGCGAGGACTTTAGCTGCTAGGCTACTGAGCTGGGCCCCTCTCTATTTTTCAATAAAAATAAACACAGGTCATCCATCTGGTGCCCAAGAGGTTCCCAGCCCTGTAGGGGAAGCAGGCTCCTCCCTGGCTCAGCCCCCACAGGCTGCCCATCATCCACACCCAAGGATCCCCCTCCTGGTCCAAGCACTGCTTCTGACCCACCAACTCCTGTGGCTCTGCATCACAGAAGTGCCTGGAATGCAGGAAGCGAGGTCTCAGCCCACGCTACTCCCACCACCACCTGGAGGGTCTTTTGCTGCCCATTGGCCCCCTCTGCTCTGGGCACTCCTCCTGGGCACTGCCCAGAGCATGTCCCATGTCTCCCTAGGACCACTTTCTGTCGCGAGGAGGGGTCCACCTGGAGGTGGGGAGCTGGAGTTGACCCAAAGGGGTAACAGAGCCACTCAGTCTTGCACCCCGGCTTTTTGACCACTTCAGCCCAGACCTTTGCAAGGAGCCCCACATGGTCCATGGGGCCAGCGGGAAGGAAGCCGATGCAGCTGGCACTTGTGGGCAAGGGTTCTCACTGAGGGGTGCCCCGTGGGCACCTCCCGGGCACCCTTCAGGGGCTCTGCAAAGCGGAAATAGGAAGGTTTGCACCGCAGGCAAGCCCGAAGCAGGAAAAAACACTCAGTGGAGCTGGGACAAAAGCGCCTCCCTTGCTGTGTGCAAAACCCCCGGGGGCCCGGAAGACAGCCAGAGGAAGTGCCCTGCCCCTGGACTCAGGGCTGCAGAGGGCTACGAATTCTCTGTCCCTCCCCCAACTCCCCACCCCCTGCCCGCACAGAGGCTCCAGGGAAGTCTTGGCCATGGTGGGGAGGCGGTATGGCGGTGAGGGGGGGAAGGGGAGAAGCAGCTGGAACCAAGTGGAAGCTTAAGAGTTCCTTGTGACTGGTGACAGGTGATGGCAGGTGGCAATATTCAAGGCCCCATAGCGACTAGGGGAGACTTGGTGCCACCTCAGGTCCAGCTTCGTGATGGTTCTTGAATACCCAACGCCCACACCCCACCTCGTTGCCCCTCCATGCCAGCCAGGGCACACAGTGCCCCCAGGCCCATCCGGCCACGTGGCCCTGGAGGAAGCCCAGGTCTGAGTGGCGTCAGCACTGACAATACAGCTCAAGGCTGCCATGGCCCCGCGAGCAGGGCACGGGGCCCTGCTATTTATGGCCAGCCCTGGGCTGGGGGGGGCAGCCCTTCCCTAAGGGGGGGGCTGGAGGAGGAGGAGGGGTGGGCCTTGACCGGGCTCCAGGGGCCAGCCAGCAGCTAGGGTATGGAGGGGCCTCAAGCCCTGCCCACCACATAGCAGGTGACTGGAAAGTTCTTCCCTAGGTCTGCCTCTGTGGCTTCTGCTGCTTCAGCTACTTCGACGGAGGGTGAGACAAGACCAAGGAGAAAGGTGATGTTGTCTGCCTAGCTCCCCTGTGCACGCATGTGCACACGCATGAACACACTGTCCCATCGTGTCTAAGAGTTGTAGGGGTGGAGGGAGAAGGGCATGCAAGGTCAGCAAGGATTGGCATCCTGTCTGGTGAGGATGGGATCTTGGGGTCAAGACAGCATCCAAGAGTCCCCAGGAAGCACCCAAGGTAGGGGACCAGAGATGCAGAAACAGCAGAGGCTGGAAAACCACAGCGCACCAGGCAGGGAGAGGCCACACAGACAGCAAGGACGCCTGTGACCTTGTGTCCAGACACTCCACCTGGTACAGGGACTCACCTCCAGCTCCTTGAAGACCATGCAGCGGCGTGCCCAGTCCACGATGGAGATGAAGGTCTGGTCGGCCATCCTGCACAGCAAGCCGAAGGGCGCAGGCTGCTCCGGTCGGCCCTTGGCCGGTTCCTGCAAGCAGCCCACAATGCGCGCCCGCACTTGGTCTTCATCGGGCTCCAGCTGCAGCAGCTGCAGGATGAGCTCAGGCACCCCAGGCCCCCCCGAGAAGGGCTCTGGGTAGTTGTATGGTGGTCCGGGCTGTGGGGGACTGGCATAGGGCTCTGGGTACTCAGACTTGATGGCGCGACCAGGGAAGCTGGGGTAGAGGTAGCCGGCCAGCGGGCCGTGGGCGCTGGGCACGGCCATGGGCAGCGCTGGGGCCCCAAAGTCGCCCAGAGGCCCAGGGGGTGGGCATGAGGCCAGGCCCTTGGGCTCAGGGGCATGCAGAGAGGAGGGGAGCAGGTAGTCCGGTGGGGGAGGAGGAGGAGGAGGTACCCCCATTGGGGGGCCGGTCTCAAGCTTGAAGCCATTGGCCCGAATTTGCGCCTTCTTCTGCTGCTTCAGGGCCCGATCCCGCTTGTACATGGGTCCGAACTTGTTCCGGCCGCCCCGCATACGGTCAGCACGCACAGCTATGGGCAGGGGCAAAGTCAGTGTCACCACCCCCAGGGAGTATCGGGGACTCACCATTGCAGTACCTACTGTCCCACCCTCCCCACACTCCTCCGTGGTCCAGCAATGCCTCAACCCCTGCCAATCCTTTTCATGCTGGGTGTGTGTAAGAAGTGCCCCAGGCTGAGAGACCCTGGAGGCTCAGCTCTGGTGCCCAACACAGAGCCTGGCAGGGAAATGGCAGCGGGAAGGGGCCCTGGGCTCAATCACATGCTGGGTGCTGGCGGCCAGCAGCTGGACTGTCTGCCTGACTCGGTTGAACTCCCACTGCCTCCCACCCAGGCTTCCAATCTGAAGCTGAGTTTAGGGCTGTGCTGGGGGAGGGGCCCTCACTGGCTGACCAGATGTTCTCTGGTATGGCCAAGAATGTGTCACCGGCCAGACCCAACAGGTGCATCTCTGTAGCCCCTGTGCAGACAGGACCCCACCCTGTGCTCTGGGAGGAGGGAGAGAGCAGGAGTGACCTGCAGGGATAGGAGGGGGTTGGGGAGCAGACCACTAGGACCCCGATCTGGAAGGCGGGCTATGGCCATGGGGCAGGACAACGCTCCACCTCGCGTCTGCCCAGGACCCCTCCTCTAGGCGGTTGGCCGTGTGGTCTGCAGCTCCGGAGCCCTACGAGCTCTGTAGGCTGTTCAAAAGCTTTGGCCAACAGCTGCCGGCTCGGCGCACAGCCCGACTGGGGCCGGCGGGCTGGGAGCAATGCCTTTCCACCCTGGGAGAGCCCCAGGCCTCGCTGCTGACACATCTCTCTCCCCTCATCCTCTGCAGAGACAGCGGGGGGCTGCGGGTTGTCGGGCCTGGGTCCTGGGCAGATCCTTGCTACCGGCCCCACCAGGGATCTGGCTGCCAGAATGAGCCCGTTGAAGAAGGACGCTTCGGGTGGGTCGACGGACAAAAGATGGGCTGGCTGAGAAAGGGCTGGCCAGGGACTGGGGACAGAGAGGATGATGATGATAACGACATTAATGATGGCCAGGGACCCTGCACCAGGTCCATCCTTACATTGACCAGGGGGAGAGAACGTGTTACTCCCCAGATGGGGACCGGTAGCTTCTGGAGGTTAGGAACTTGCCCCAATGCGCGGAGGGCAGAGTTTGGGGATCAGCGGGAGCGGTCGGGAGGAACCCCGCAGATGCTAGCCTGGCTCTGCCTCCAGGCTCCCCAGGCTGTCCGCAGGAAGGGGTTCGTTTGCTAGGTCGGGGACCACCTCCCCATCGGGCCCGCGGGGCGCGGGCGCGCACCTTCCAGTCGCATCCCCACCGTCAGGCACTTCTGGAAGCGGCAGAAGGGACAGCGCTTGCGCTGCGTCTTGTCGATTTTGCAGCTCCGGCTCTCGGTGCACGTGTAGTGTTTGTTGTTCTGCACCGTGCGCTTGAAGAAGCCCTGCGGGACAGGGGCGTGAGCACCGGTCGGCCGGTCCCCTCGGGGCTCGGCAGGGGCCCCAGCGGCGACGGCCACGGCAGTCCCGCCCGCCAGCCCTCACCGCGCTCTCAGGCCCGCCGCTCACCTTGCAGCTCTCGCACGTGAGCAGCCCGTAGTGGTAGCCGGACACCTTGTCCCCGCACACGGGGCACAGTTCGTCCAGGTCCTCGTCGTACGAATAGTCCATGCCCGCGGCGTCCGCCTGCGAAGGAAGGAGCGGCTCGCCGCGGGGCCCCGGGCTGGCCGCGTGCCGCTAAGCCGACCCGGTGGACCCCCGCACACCGTGGCTGCGGCCGCCACCCCAAAGCGGCCGGGGGGCCAGCTCGTCGGCGGCACCCACGGGTCAGTGCCGCGCCGCCCCCACCCCGGAGGGCGCCCCAGCAGCCTCCAGCCGGGTGCGCACCCCACGCCCGGCTGGCCCTGGCCTCGCCGCCCCTCCCGGGGGCCTCCGCACACGCGGCCCGCGCCGAGCCCGATCCGAGACCCTCGGATTCGATGTACTTCGATCCAGATTCGTTTGCCTGAGAACAAAACCCGGATTCTGAGAAAGAAACAATAATAAAAGAAAGAAAGAAACCCGCATGGGCTGGAGTGCGGGCGGAGGCGCCGGGGAGCCCCGCCGAGTCCCCCGAGTGTTCCGAGGTCCGAGGCTGGGATTGGCACCGGCGCTCAGGTGCCGGACGCGGGGGACCCCCGAGCTACCCGCTGTACGGGAGCGAACTCGGGGGATGACGACGGGGCCACGGGGCCCACGGAGGCACGGAAGCTGAGGCAGACGCTGGCACTGCCAAGGAGGGAGGAAGAGAGCGAAAAGGCTGCCGGGGCCCCAGGGATTCCAGGCACAGGGTCCGAGACGCGGGCACAGAGAGCAGACAGACAGAGGCAGGGAAGCCCGCAGCAAGGCCGAGGCCGGGCGACAGGGAGCGGGAGCGCGGGACGGGGCAAGGCGCAGGAGGCGGCGGGCTCCCAGGCGAGGTGGCCCCGTACGGGCCGCCCCGCACAGCGGCCCCCGGCCAGGGTGGCGCAGCCCGACGGCGCCCGGGACCTGCAGCCCGAACGCCCCGAACCGCCTCACCCCGGCCCGGGGAGGGCCGAGACAAAGCCCGCAGGATGTCCCAGCTCCGCAGCGCCCAGACGTCGGGCGGAGACCCCCGAGGGCTCCTCTGGCCAGCCGCCCCCCGCCCCCAGGCCGGGAACCACCTAGAGCGGAGAGTCCCCAAGCCCCGAGGCAGCCAGACGCAGAGCCGACCCCAGGAGTGCGCCCACCTGGCCCTCACGCGAGCTGCGCCCTGCGTCCCGCCCGCACGGAGTCCCGCACCTCCCGGCCACGCCGCTGCCACCGCCGCCGCCGCCTCGGCCGCCGTCAGCGCCGCGAGGAGCCGCACCCGGGCGCAGCGCCGCCCGCCCGCAGCCCGCCCGCAGCCCGCCCGCGCTGCCGGCCGCTCGGCGCTCCCCCGGCCCCCGCCCGCCTCCCCGCCCCCCGCGCGCAGGGCCGCGCCGAGGCGCACCTGGGACCCGGGCCCCCTCTCTCTGCGGGATCCCTGGCGGCGCCCTGCTCTCCACGCTCGCCCACTCCCCCAGCCGCAGCCCCGGGCCCGCGGGAGCCCGGACGCCCGCAAGCCGGGCAGGTGTGTCCCGAGCGTCCGCACCCTGTCCGCAAGCCCAGCTTCGCGGGGGCCGGACCAACCTGGGACCGCCACTCGTTTCGCAGCGTGGAAGTGGGTAAGGGCGAGCGTTGGTGGGGGGGCGGGTTCGAGGCCAGAAACCACGTTTTCGTCTGGGCCCCGCCACACCTTTCTCCAACAAGAGACTTCCGCAGATCCTCCCCCACCCCGCGCGAACCTCAGTTTCCCCATCTGTATAGTGGGACTGATGCTAAGGTTTTCTGGAGGGTGGGTGAATGGCGCCACGCACAAGCCCTACATGGCGGAAGCGCTCACTGGCAAACCTCTTCCCTACGCGCCTCAGTTTGCTCGGCCACAGAAGGGATCGGCAGTGAGCGAGGCACGAAGCCCAGGCGCGAGTTGGGGGTGGCAGAAGCTGAGAGAACAGAGCCTAGGGCTCGGGCACCCCACATCCCACTGGGGCCGGAGGAAGGGCAACGCCCGACTGCCTCGGGTGCAGGGGGGGCCCCGGGGACGGAGACAGGGTGCGTCCCGCTCCCGGGAGCTTTCCAACGGGAACGGGGACTGCTGGACCCCGCCCTGGGCATCCCGAGGGGGTCGCGGACCGGGGCACCGCAATCTCCGAGCGCAGTAGGGTGGGCGCCGGGTGTAGGCAGCGCCGCCAGCTCCCGGCGGGCTCCCTGTGGGTGTCCGAGCTCCCCCGGGCTCCCGGAGGAGCTGGCGGCGCGGCAGGCGAGCGCCTGCGGATGCCCTCTCTCTGGGCGCTCACCCCGCGGCAGTCGCTTGCTGTGCTAGCCCCAGCTAGTCGCTTTGCCTCTCTGAATCTGTCTCTCGGCCCGAAGATGGAAGGGATGGGCCCCACGGGCTGGAGTGGTTTCCAGGAGATTCCACGGGCGCGTTTCAGCGATGGGGGCTTGGGGAGGAGAGACGAGAGAGCCAGACACGGGGTGGTCGCAGCCCCCCGCCCCCAAGCAACAAAGCGGCAGTGGCAGCTGGCAGTGGGAGCTGGGGGCGCGCTGGTGTCTAACAACTCCCAGCAGCGAGGCCTCAGACCCTGGGAAATGTGCAAGTGCGGGAGAGGGGGAGGGGCCGGGCCTCCCTCGGGTGGCAGTCACCCAGCGGCTCCTGGACCTTGCTGAGGAAGACCCTCACGGTTAAGCCCAGGTCCAGGCTGGGCCCTGAGTTCTGAGCCAACTCTTCCTCAGGCCTCCAGCGCCCACCCCGCCCTGCACTAGTTCCACCACCGCAAGTTGGAAGCACCCACCCTCCCACAGCCCCACGTGGACACCCACAGGCCTTCACCTCCCCCCACTGCACACAGACCTGGCCCAGCCACAGACCGGGACTGACAGGCACTAACCCAAGAGACCACAGGCAGGCGGGCAACGGGAACCCACCCCGGCAGAGGGGTCCAGCGACCCCGGGCCACGCAGCTGCAGACCAACACTCCTGGTGAGCCCCCAGTAGCCCCCGGCAGCCCCCCGCATTTCCCCCTGCAGGCCTCCACAGCCCCCTGCAGGCCTCTGCAGACCCAGCCAGCGAGGAAGAAGAGGCAAGTATGGTGGAAGTGCCAGCCTGGGGAGCCCCGAGCCGGCCCTGCCAGGCACAGCGGGCACAGACACCATATAGGGCAGGCGGTGGCCGGCACAGGCCGCAGGAAGGCAATGGGGAGGGTGGCTGGCCAGCAGAGGCCCAGCCTGGGCCCTCACTTACAGAGCAGCGGAAGGAACGCCGTGAGGCCGGGTGAAGGTGGACAGTGGGCACGGGGCTCTGGGGCAGACCAAGTGGGGCGCTGGCGGAGGTGGGCACGCGGGAGCTCCTTGGCGCGGGGCGGGCGGCCGGTGGACAGCAGGCTGGCCCTGTCCGTCCGTCCTCCTCCGCCTCCCCGCCCGGGGTGGGGGGGCCACCGAGGTCCAATTGGTCTGTGCCCCCACGTGACTCGCGGGCCTCTCTCCTTTGTTGGTGTTTCTCTTCATTTAGGTCTATTTTTTTCCTGCTTCTACAAGAAAAAAAAAAAAAAAAAGAAAAAAACCCTACCCCTATCTATCTGGGGGCCGTGGTGGGGGCGGAGGCCAAGGCAGTGTGTGTAGGCCTTGGCCAGCTGGCTGCTCCAGGCTGGAGCGGGAGCCCGGAGGATGGGACCCCAGCGAGGCGGATAGGCAGCCCCTTGCTTGTTAGCGACTGGGTGGGAGTGGGATCTGATTTATGGCTTGCTTGGAGCCCGGCTTTTCTCCCCTTGAACTGCTTCCTCCCTGAGGCCTGGCCTGGCGTGGTCCTGCTTGGCCCAGACATGGGAGTGGAGCCAGGATGGGCCCAGACCAAGGCAGAGCCAGGAGCCACTTGTCCAGGTGGCCTGTTGCTTTGGCCTGGTCATTTTACTCTTCCAGAAAGAGAAAGAAGAAAGTTGTAGGGTGTTAGGGGGATGCCGGGAGGAGGCAAGCAGGTGAACTTGGGGCATCAGCATTTCTCAACCTGCCCCATGCGGCTGAAAAGCTAGGGGCTGGGCCCAGATAGTGGTGCCCAGCGGTTAGCAGGGCCACCAGCGGGAGTTGGATCCAGAAGGCCAGGGGGCTCCCCATGCAGCTAATCCCTGGTGCTAGAGGACCAGTCACAGCGGCGTGTAATGTGCTGCTTCAGGTGCGCCATGACCTGGTGTGCCTCGGGGGCAGGCGCTATTCCATGCACTGTTCTAGCCACCAGGTACTCCAGGAAAGCTAGGACATTTGTGACCTCTGGTGATGAAGTTCGCAGCCTGGAGGCCCAGCAGGGGCATGGCCACTGTGGGCACCACTGTTGGAACCACCTGTTTCTTTCTCTTTTTTTTTGTTGTTGTATTATTTTTTTATTGATTACATTGCATTATGTGACACTGTCTCATAGGCTCTGGGATTCCCCCCTCCCCTCCCCGTGCCCTCCCGGAAGCACCAGTTTCAAAGCCACATGTGGAACATGCTGTGCTCTTCCCCATCCGCCATCCGCCACTCTTTTTTTTTTTTTTTTTAAAGATTTATGTTTTGTTGGAAAGTCAGATTTTCAGAGAGATGATCTTCCATCCGCTGGTTCTCTCCCCACGTGGCTGCAATGGCCAGAGCTGAGCCGATCCGAAGTCAGGATCCAGGAGTTTCTTACGGATCTCCCACATGGGTTCAGGGTTCTAAGATCTTGGATCGTCCTCTGCTGCTTTCCTAGGCCACAAGCAGGGAGCTGGAAAGGAAGTGGAGCAGCCACTACGAACCAGTGCCCATATGGGATTCCCTCTGGATGCAAGACGAGGTCTTTAGCCACTAGGCTACCGCACATGCCCTCCCCGCTGCCCAACCCTTTATAAACTGTGAACCTATGAAGTGGCTTTGCAGGTGCTCCTGAGGCTCCCGGTGGCTCTGTTGTGGCACTGGCAGCCTGCTGCCTCAGGCTGGTGCCTTCTCACCTACACTGTCGGACGCCCTTCCCTCGCAGGTACCTGCCTCTGGCCACTATCCCCAGTTCATTTGCTTGTGTTTCCCTTTTCAAAAAAAGAAAATGCGTTTTTACTTAAAAGGCAGGTTTTTAGAGAGGAGAGAGCTTCCATTTGATGATGCACCTCTCA